GGTATGGACATAACGGCCAGAGAAAGCAACATTTGCAACAGTATTTGATCTGTTTTGCATAGGATTTCCCATGTATGGAACTTTCAATCTTAGGGACGAGCGAGACATATTCCTTACTGAAGTTGATTAAATCCATCCGCTTAGCTGGTGATGGCTTTGTTAAGGTTTTTTTTTGTTTTCACTAACTTAATCGGTTTGTTTCTATTGCCCGGGTTTGTTTTTCGATTGTTATTGCTTCCCTTTTGGTGGGATTGTTCTTTCGAATAGAAATCCTAATTTTGGTTAATTGAAGTACAGTTTTGTTTTTGCCAAGACACAATGAAACTACCGTAGAAATGAACTGGGCATATTATTGTCTTTTTAAGCAAGATCAAAACATGGTAACAGAATTTGTTTTTGTAATGTTGTGCCCACTGGCTACTTCGTTAATTTGTAATAAATCCTCGAAGCTTCTATACACAAGTCTTCTTCGATGAAAGGAATCGGACAGGACCTCTATCCATCCATCTATCTATCTATCTATCTATCTATCTAACTATCTATCTATCTATCTATCTATCTATCTATCTATCTATCTATCTATCTATCTATCTAATGCATATATTGATACCTCACTCGAAATAACTCACAACCGAACCAAAGTATCAGAGAAGTGGTATTATAATAACAGAGGTTTTTAAATCGTGTTGATTCAAAAGTTTTTTGTTAAACCGATTCAATCAAAAAGCATGGAAAATGAGGCCTCACTGCAGTTGGAAGCATCGTTATTTTCATATTATGCAAGAACACATATTAATATACGGCGTACTCCGGGCTTTGATGAATTAATTCCTCGGTTAGACTGTGTTCTTTCACTACGACGCAGCAGGAGAAAACGACTACTATGTAGAAGTTGTACGTTAAACCCTAATGCTCAAAAATTGGGGTCTCTACCGATGATAGTGTGTAGCTTGTGGCTGAAACTACTTTGTTTCCTTTTGATACTCACTTGTTGAATCAGTCGTTGTGCGTTAGTGAACCTCGGAAAACACAACTATGCCAGAGGGCTTCTTACCCCATTCGCACACCCCTATTGCAAAGTTGCAATCGTCCCCACCACCCTTGTTCATCACAAGGCGATGCGTGTGCTATTTTTCAGCCTCACTCACTTCTGGTACTGTTATTGTTGTTGTTGTTGTCGTTACAGGTGCTGCCTCTTCCATTGCCCTGTCGCCATCATGTTCATCTTGGCTGTAGGCAAAGTTTTCCGCTGCATGAATTCCGGCACTGTCGCGGTTTGGAGACCGATTCACCATGTCCTGTATCAGACAAGCGCAACCCGCACGTGTCCGTGAAGTATTCGGTGCAAAAAACATAGGTGGGAAGAGAAACGAATGTGTGCACATGCGCTCTAGGGTTTGTGGCCGAATGAGCGGACAAGTAACGAATTCGGTCTGTCCGTGAAGCGATTGACGAACGACGGATTGCCTGCCCGCATTCGAATAGATCAAATGCGGGCGTGAACGCCATGATCACCAGCACAAGCACCAGCGTACACCACCATCAAAAATGAAACACCTGACGACATTCTCTCAACTCCTCGGAACCAGGTGCGGACAATGTTTCGCTACCTGTGAAATCAGCCCACATTCAACCTATGCCATTACAGATCATTATTATGGCCGCGCTACCATCATTCTCACCATCGAACACACACATCCGTAACAGGCAAATCGTCAACCTCTTTCCACCTGTCCACCCTTAAGTTTGTCGCCACCGTCAGTAGAAATGCGCATTCGTTGGCGTCGTTCCAGTGCGGCGGTACACACAGGTTACCCAATATATATATACATATATATATATATAGAGAGAGAGAAACAGGCAATATTCGAAGCGAAAAACCAATTACACCCACCCACCCACCCCCACACACACACATATACATACACACCTTCCGCGGTAAAAATCGTCCAGCTCCACCCTGATGCTTCACTGTCGTCGAACAGACGATGCTTCTTCTTTTCCTGACAAGATTTGCAGAAAATGCGAACGGCTCAAGACCGGTGTTTACACGTGTGTGAGAGATTGTAGCCATGTCTAGGTGTGAATAACAGACACACATACATACGCACACGAGATTTTTAGTCAAGAGTAGAGCAATTAGTTAGGTTAATATTTAATCAATCGATTGCCTGCGAGCGCAAATTACAAAACGAGAGAGGCAAATTTCATTTTCAAAATAACTAGTACTAGTGACAAAAATAGTAATGCTAATAATAAACTATTTTAAAAAATATTAATAATATTAGTGGCAGTAGTAGTAATGATAATAGTCGTAATTATCGCTTAGCTGATATTCCAACACAGTTGCGTTAGCCAAGTGTTTTTAATACCTTTTCATGGTAAACTAACCATTGCTAACTACTGCTTTCTCTGTGTGTGTGTGCGTGTGTGTGCGCATTTTTCATCCGAACATTACGATTTTTCGTTCTCGGCAAAATTATAATATTAGTAATAATAAAATTGACTTCAAGTAATCTCAGCTGCCTATCACTCCGGCCTGTAAATTATAGTTACAGGGAATTTACGCTTAATGCACGACATGCACATACTTGTACACATGCCCCCTCTCCCCACAAACATGCGAACAATCACGGGGGACAGATAACTATCGTGGAAATTTAAGTCCACATATGCCACAATCCAGGTCCATTTGTCGATTACAATGAAAACGGGTGTTTTACATGTTCTAAACACATAAAATA